TAAGAAAAAAAAATCCGTATCATGTCACACGTGTCATCACTCGATTGGTTTGTAGGGCATCTATGACCAATATCTACACCATGTGAGATATGGAAAGAAAAGAAGTCTGATCTTAAGGTTGTTAAGATTTGGGGCTATCCTGCTTATGTTAGGTTGAATCTTAGATTTTGATGATGGAATCAATTGATGAGTATGTAATCTAATTAACATTTTGAGAAAAGTGATGCAGGTCTAACTTGGATCATAAAAAGGAAAAATAATTAAAGTAGAAGAATCATACATTTGGCTAGTGTCAAAGATCAGGCATCGGGCCAAAAGAATCATATGTTGTGAGAGTCAACATACTGATGGATCAAGCGATACACTAAAGGTTCAAAGGACACGTTAGAAGTTTGTCGAGAGTTCGGATTAACCAATGACATGCCGGACAACTTATATTTATTGTCTTATAATTGTTTAGATCTTAATTATCATAGTTAGGTCATAATTTAAGTTAGTTTTATTGAATCTCGGATTTTGATAATAAAATTAATTGATGGGTTAATTGATCTAATCCATATTATTGAGTTAAGTGTGCAGGATTAACTACGATAACCAGAAAACATAAAGCAAGAATACCGGAGTCAAGTTCGATGGACGTTTAAGAGTCCGAAGAATCATCGGAGATGCTGCCGGAACCAACCGAGAAGAAATCAGGAACTTGTCGAAATTTTTGAAAGTTTGCCGAAGAGATCATCGAAGGTTCACGGAGATCACCGAGAAGGCTCGGCTACTCGTTGAAGTCGTCACAAGATCGGGAGCCTGCTGGGAGTCCGTCGGAAGAAATTCGAGGGCATATCAGAAGTCCGCCGGAAGTTCGTCGGAAAGCTCGCCGGAACAAGACTCGACGTTCGCGGTTGAAAACTTGCTTGGGATGTTTTTAGTTATGTAGTTCACATGTAATTAAGATTATGATTAAAAGATAATCCTATATCATAGTTAGGGGCCAACTAGGCCCAAAATTAGACTTGGTTTGGGCTAAACTTAAAGCCCAACCAGTGAACCGAAGGGTCTGGCGGTGGCACCACCAGATTGGGCGGTGGCACCACCAGATTGGGCGGTGGCACCGCCAGTACACTGTCAGTGTCAGACACTAATAGGCGGTGGCACCGCCAGCATCGGGAACCAAAGAGAATTCAAATTTTGGAGCCCAAATTTGAATCCTCTTGAGGCCTATAAATACCTCTCAATTCTCTACTAAGATAACAACTTTTTGAGAAGCAATAGATTGAAAAAAAGGTCTTAGAAAAGTCTTAGCAAGTCTTGTTTTCAATTTGTTAGAGTGTTCACCTCCTTCTTTCTTGCTGAAAATTTGTAAGAGTGTGAACCGCTTGTAAAAGGTTGTAAGAGGGGTATTTGTCCTTCCCCTTCAAGAGATTTGCTAGTGGAAGGTGGGAGCCTCATCGAAGAGGGCCTCGCAAGTGGATGTAGGTCATTTGACCGAACCACTTTAAAATTGGCGTGATCTCTGGTTTGCATTTTCTTATTGCTATTTACATTACTGCAAACCTTCTTACGTGCTTTATTTCCTCATTACCTTTGCTGCACACCTTTACGAACACGCGTTCAAGTTAAGCTTTTCAAGTTCGGTTTTTATCGTACGAAAGATTTGTCGAAACCAACGTTTTAATCCGCTGCACTAATTCACCCCCCCCCCCTCTTAGTGCCGCTCCGATCCTAACAAGTTTTAGGTGTAACCCTACTAACTTAATTAGGGTCCATTAGGCCTGATATAGGGTTGAGTGGGGCCCATTGGGAGGCTCATTCAGTGACCTAGGGTTAGGTTAGGTGGTGCTGCCACTAGACTAGGCGATGGTACTGCCTATGAGTTGGAATGTATGAAGTGTACATTTTTTGAAAGATCCGATAGTGGTACCGCTAGTGTCAAGCGGTGGTATTGCCTAGACTTGCAGTGGTACCGCCCAGACTGGTGGTAGTACCACCAGTGCATGGTCTCCAATGAAGCCTGGCGGTAGTACCGCCCAGACTAGGTGGTGGTACGGCCAGTTGTTAGTCTAGCAGGCAGTGAGATCGCCTAGTACTAGTAGTAGTACCATTAGTACCTCGAAAATCCGGGATGAAACCTTTTTTTGGATCCATTTTTGAAGTCATTTAGGGCCTATAGATTCTCCACTCTTTCTTGCTTAAGAAAGCAAGAAAAGTGAACAAAAAATCCAGTGATTTTGAGTTGTAAAGTTTTGAAAAGTGCTAAGTGTCCCCCTTCTCTACTTTAAGTTTTGGGCTTATTCTAATAGAGGTGTGAGATTTGTAAAGATTCTCTCCTAAACTTATGAAAAGGTGAAAACAGTTATAAGAGAGTAGGTAGTCTTCGTCCATTGAAAGAATATCGTTAGTGAATACCGATGGCCTCGACGGAAGAGGAATCGGGAGTGGACATAGGCCACGATGACTGAACCACTATATACTCGGTTTGCATTTACTTTCTGTCCTTCATTGATATTACTTTTTGATTTAACTGCTTATTATACTTATTCTAAGTCAAGTACATATTCGATATTTATTTTTATCGAACAAAAATTTTCAAACTGATATTTTATCGAAAACACTAAATGACTTTTGCCGATAATCTAGAGGGTCACTCTATCACTTCAGAAAGAAGAACAGGTGCAGGAATTAAATGACGAATTACAAGTTATTAAATAAAATAAGACTTGAAAGTTAATAATTTTTTCTTAGAAAAGATAATTAGACTCAAATATGTCTACAAGTTAAAATTTAATGCTAATGACTTATTACAAAACATAAAGCCTGTCAAGGGGTATGCTCAAATTTTATATTTTAATTTTAATTTTTTTCTTTAATTATAAAATTGATACAATTATAATAGTGTTAGCATTAGTAATTAAAAAAAAAATGATTAGTCTATCAATTTGATATTAAATCAATCTTTCCGAATGAAAAGTTACAAGAGGAGGTATTATACAATTTAAAATACGCACTAAGGGCATGGTATATGTGAATTGATAATTATTTTTTTAACACAACTTTCAAAAATGTTTAAGTGAACCAACCATATATATAAAAGCTTAAGATATGAAAATTCTTATTATCTATTTGTATTTATATGTGGATGATATGATTTATACTAAAAATTCGATGTGTATGCTTAATAAATTTAATAAAAATATGATTTAGAATTTGAAATAACTTATTTAGGGCTTTTTTATTTACTTGGAATGAAAATTATTCCAATATGAAATAATTTTTATTTCAAGAAAATATAATAAAAATTTATTGAAAATATAGCTTGTAAGCTAGTGACTACTCCAATGAATAAAAATGATAAACTTATGTTAGATGATAAAATTTAAAAAGGATGAGATTCAATTAGAAGCTTAATTGAAGGGATAATTTATCTTATACATTCAATGTCAAATATTAAGTTTGTAATTAGTTTATTGTCTAGATTCATGCACAGTCCTAGTCCTAGAAGCATCACTTTAGAACAACCAAAAGAATTCTTAAATACATTAAAAAAATCTCAATTATGATATTCACTATGAGTAGATAAAAAATTTTAAATTATATTGATAGTGATTAAGTTAGTTATGTTGACGATTATTAAAATTATTTCAATATGGAGTTAGAAGTCATTTTATGCACAACAAAAGAATAAGAGTATGCTTCTCTCTAAGTTTTGATATTGAATATATAACAACTATAAGTACAACATGTAAAACAATTTGATTGTAAAAAATTATAATATATCTACAAGAAAAATAAAATATAGAAATTAAAATCTATCAGATAATAAATCTTATATTACGTTGATAATAAATCTTATATTTCAATTTGGGTCCCCATGCATCGATGAGGCCCGCCCACAATTTGACTATTGAATCGTGCTAGCTTGAGGGGGGAGTCGAGTCACGCACCCTCCTAGCTGTAAAAGGCTAACAGGTCGTCGGTCAACGACGGCAGCGACCGTCCCGGTCTCCCAAGACGTGTCCCGAGCCACTACCCATGCAACCTGAACCAAGGGGCGCCGCCCTGTCACTTTGCTTCATCCAACAACTCGGATCCCCCTTTCCTTCTCCCGAAAACAATAAAAGAGATCAGATTCCGATCCGCTCTTCGTCCTCCTCCCTCGTGCGGTAACAGCTCACTGCTTCATAAACAAGGAGGGCCACCGAAACCCCCTCTGAACAAAGTCAAACAAAGATATGTTGCACGAACTTTGGCGTTGTCAATGTTCACATGGAACTCATATATGTCTCCGTTTGAGCCATCTCTTCTTAGGATCTGGAGTTGTAGGTGACGTAGGAGAGTGAGCCCACCGCATGCAGGGTTGCCGGTGGGTGAAGCTACGGAGGATGTTTCTTGAGGCAGCGTCGGTGGGCTGCACGCGTACGACTCCTCCCCAACTGCCACCGCCCACGCCACCCCAAGCCGCGTTGTCGCTCGCGGGTGGCCCAACTGAAATCTAACTGTCACCAACGTGGGCTCTTCTCCTCAGACACTCAGCGAGCAGCAGCAGATCTTTACGTTCCATATCACATCAAGTCAAATCACGAAAACTATAATGAACATGAGGCGCTGCTGCCAAAAAGTCGGTGTCGTACTTATCACAGGACGGGTGGCGCCAGCACCGATGTGGACTCATGCGATTGGTTGATGGCTTCTGGGTCCACCTACTTTGCTGAGTCGAGGAGAAGCAGCGTCCCCGTCGTCTCCGCAAGTCAAGCCGCCCACCCTTTGAACCAGTACTATATCGTTTAGCTTGTGGTACTCGAAACCAGAAGAACACCAGGATCTCCTGGCCACACGCCACGTCCCGTTACCTACGCTTCCCTACGACGCCCATAACGCATTAAAAATGGTCCCTCGCCGCCCGGCTTTATCCAGCTGTTCCACCCCGTGTGCCCCATCGCGATGTCGCCGTCCTCGACTTTATATATATCTCCGCATCCTTCGCCCCTTCTTCTCATCAGCAAGTAACTGCTTCACTCGCGGATCGTACGCTCTCCAAGAAGTTGAATCTGCACAGGATGGAGGCGTTTTCTGGTGATGACGCCGCCGCCGCTACTGTCTCAGGAACCAAGGGGACGTGGCTGTACGCGACGGTGTCGGAGGCGCCACCGAAGCGGCCGGCGGGGCGGACCAAGTTCCGGGAGACGCGGCATCCGGTGTACAAGGGCGTGCGCCAGCGGGGGGCCGCCGGGCGGTGGGTGTGCGAGGTGCGGGAGCCGAACAAGAAGTCCAGGATCTGGCTAGGCACGTTCCCCACGGCGGAGATGGCGGCGCGGGCGCACGACGTCGCGGCGATGATGCTACGAGGCCGATCCGCTTGCCTCAACTTCGCGGACTCGGCATGGCGGCTCCGCGTGCCGGCCTCGTTCTCCTGCTCCCAGGACATCGCACGGGCCGCCGCCGAGGCTGCCGAGGCGTTCCGGCCTCCGTCGGACTCCAACGCTACCTTTGAATCCTCCTTAACGATGGAGAGCTCAGCGAGTACATTCCCGTCTTTGTCGCCTTTAGCGACGGCGGCCACGCCTTCATCAGTGTTACTGGAAGATGGGATCGGCAGCCAAGAAGGAGTCACATTTGATATGGTGAGTTACGACGGCATGGATTTGGGCTACTGCGACTACTCCGGTATGGCGGAGGGCGCGCTGGTAGATTCCATTTGGGACGACGTGGCCGCTGACGCTGACGTGTCGCTCTGGAGCTACTCCATCTGACGCAGAGAAGGCGGCGGCTGCGGAGGACGACGACGAGGAGGTGGCAAGGCATCTGACGTCCATTAACTCGGTTACGTGCGGCGGCTGAGTGCTCGAAGCTGTTCCCATGCATCAACGCTTCTCTGGATCTTCACCAGCTTCGACCACAACATCTGTAGAACGAGTAAACTCGGTGAATGATTCAGAAGACGAGCTTTATGTTTATATTTGCTCTGCTTTGATCTCAGCTCTTGTAATCTCTGCAAAATAAGCAAACAGATCCAAAGAAAAAAAGCACACAGGCAAACTATTCTAATACGTGAAGATCAACCTCCTTCTTACACCTCTCTTATCCTTTTATCGGGTTTAGGAGACAACCCTTACAAGCACTCACTCCTCTTTCAAACTATTCTAACACTTAGACTAGAAGAGGAGGATTCTCACAAGAGATTACAATAATATTTTTTTCCCCCTTTAAATTCTTTGTGCTTGTGTATGTTAACCAGGGATAAGAGGGGTATTTATAGGCTTCAAGTTGATTCAAACTTAGAGCCTAAAAAGGTCTCATCATAAGTTTCCTATGTATTGGCGGTACCACCGTCGTTCCTGGGCGGTACTACTACCGCAAGATCTGCAGCTAGGCATTACCACCGCTGAATAGGGATGGTACCACCGCTGACAACATTGCTATCGGTGGGAGCACTGCCCAGATATCCTGAGGTGTTGTTCCCCAAGCGGTGCCACCGTCGGCCAGGGTTTCAACACCCTAGTTGGGCCTTGAATCTAACCCAAACCAGCCTAACTTCGGGCCTAGTTAGCCCCTAATAGAGTTGATGGGATTACCTCCTAATCTTAACTCCAATTATATGCTAAATATGATTTCTAAGACATAATCTAAGCAAGATAAGTCTGATTTTTTTCGGCAAGCTTCCGACGATCTTTCGGTGAACTTCTGACGATCTCTCGGTAATGTTCCGGTAGACTTCCGGCAAGCTCCTGGACTTCACGATGATCTTCTTGGCGAGTTCCGATGAGCTTCTTTGGCAAGCTCTTGGATTTCTCGGTTGGTTCCGATAGAACTTCTGACGAATGTCCAGACTTCCGACGAACTCTCGAACTCCCAACGAAATCGCGTTCTTGACTCCAAGACTTCATTTTGCTTTATGCCTTGCTATCATAGTTAATCCTGCACACACAAAAACATAGTTTGATCTAGACAATTATTACTAAGCATGAATCATGTTGTCCGGTATGTCATTGGTCCATCGACGCTTCGTTCGATTCTTTGGCGCATCGTTCTCTCTTGCAGCCTATTGCCCAATCGGCCAGTTGACCTCCGTAACTCCGATATCCTTGGCGCAATATCCACTCTTCTTGGCCCGATACCTGAATCCATGGCCTGAAGCCTTCTGTCAATACGTCGATCGATCCTCCGGCCCGACTTCCAATCTTCTGACACGTTTTTCTCCGGCCCAACATGATTCTTTCTGCTTTTATTATCTCTCCCTGATCGAAGCATCCTGTGTCACTCAAAACGTAGATTAAATCATAAACACTTATCAATTGATTTCATCATCAAAATATGAGATTCAACAATCTCTCCTTTTTTTATGATGACAACCAATTGATGAAGGAGTTAACCTTAACTCCCGGAGTTTAAATAAACTCCCCCTATCAATATGCCATATTGATAGAACCTTGAATTCAAGTCGTTGCAAATTTCATCATAAATATTTGTAATACGTCATCATGTATAACATGATCATACTTATCGTCCTTTGTCATTAATAAAAAGGAGAAGTTCAACTATCAAGTGTTTGAGATATAATGTCAAATCATTGCATGAAAAATATAATATCAAGTTTTATCATCATGCAATTTGTAAGTTAGAAAATTTAGCAAGTGTTACATCATATAAGCTATCAAGATTTAGATATGTAAGGTAGTAAGATAGCAAGTTTACAACATATAAGCTAGCAAAAATTTTGAAATCAAATGCAAGATAGCGATGTTCAAGACAGTAAGCTCTTTCTTCTCTTTTGAGAAGTGCTATTTTTGCTTCCTTTGCAAAGTGCAAGCTAGCAAAATTTTATAACATTTTAAAACATGCAAGCTAGCAATTTTGAGATGTTCAAGAAAGCAACTCTTGCTATAAATTTTGCTAGATGTGCAAGTTAACCTTTTTTGCTTCTTGAGATAGGCAAGATAGCACTTCTTGGTGATGTTTAAGATAGCAAGTTCTATATCATATAAGATAGTGAATCTTACAATATTTTAGAACATGCATAATCACCAAATCATCATAAATTTTAATGATGTGTAAAATTTTAAATTTTGTAAGTTTGCATTTGTGTGTCTTGAGATTTGCAAGATAGCAAGCTAGCAAGTTTTATAAATTCTTGCTTCTCTTTTGAGATGAGCAAGCTAGCAAGTTTGCTTCTTTTGCAATGTGCAAGTTTCTAAATTTTGCATCTTGAGCTAGCAATTTTTCTTCCCCTTTATCATTGTCAAAAAGAAGGAAAGTGATAGAAGATAAGATTTTCTCAACTATATGAGGAAATCTCTCTATTCTGTTGAGGAAAATCCTTCATTTTATTAAGAAAAATTCTTCCTTCTAATCTGTATAAATAGGAGAGGGATATATTTAAGTTTTTTCACTTCTTCTTTAATAAAGCTTCTTCAATAATTATTCTTATCTTTTATTATTTTCATCATGGTATCAGAGCAGTGAGAAAAGCAAAGCTTTGCTCTTGCCTTTGGCCAGCGACCAATGCCGTTGAGAAAAGCAAAGCTTCGCCCTTGCCTTTGGCCAGCAATCAACGCCACTGCAGCCAAATTCCTAAGAGGCTCCACAGCCAATCCTCATCTTCCTCACTGCGATAGTCTTCGTTTTCTCATCGTGATAGTCTTTGTTGATCTGCCAACAGTCAACGGACTTAAGAAGAATGAAGGGCGGACTTAAGGGGAACGAAAGGAATGCCTATGCTCTCAAAGCAATAGTAATTGCAATAGCAGAAGATAAGATTTCTCCAACTATATGAGGAAATCACTCTATTCTATTGAGGAAAATCCTCCATTCTATTGAGGGAAATCGTTCCTCCTAATCCTTCCTCCATTCTTTGTATTTAAGCTTTTTCACTTCTTCTTAAATAAAGCTTCTTCAATAATTGTTCTTATCTTCTATTATTTTCATTAGGAAGAATATAGTTTTGTATCTCTTTTTCCCTTTACAACAATTTTTAAATCATGACAAAGGATGAATAATCAAAAAATCAAGTTATGAATGTAAAAATAATTTTTCATCATGAATATTTTATCATTACATACATCATTATCATAAGTTGAAGTATTGTATGCATAATATCAAATCATCATTCATAATTACATTAATGTTTCAATCATTATTTCAATATGTTTGTGCATCATTATGGTTTCAATTTACAACATGCACAATTTCAAAACTTTGCATATGGTATCCTTACTTCATGCATGACATAAATAAATCAATCACCATGGGCATATCATACATGATATTCACGCATTCATGATACATCATTTTGGCAACAAATCATAGCATTTCAAATCATGATGGTATATAAATGTCAAATTATATTACATCATATCATGCATGATCATAACTTCTCATTTGTTTACATAAATTCATGAGCATTTTATGCATAATTTCATATCATCACATGAAAAATCAAGAGAATTTTGGTGATGAGATATACAAATCATGAAGACAAATTGTAAATATCAAGAGACATATTATGATTCTTTTTTGATAACTCAGATAGCAAAAAGAAAGAATCATAGTAGACAATCTTGATTTATAAAAAGAATTTTCAAGTTATAATTCCGAGAAATCAAGAGAAACCATGATTCATTTTAACAAATCTCCTCTTAAATAAATAACAAAAAGAATTCTTAGGAAATCATAATATAGATAAAATTCATTCAATCTTGTAGGAGAACAAGATATTAATTCATGCATATAAAATCTCCCAATTCATTATGAATCGTAAAAATTATAATTCTAAAAAATCATGATTCATTTAGGAAATTTTCCTCTTTAGTAAACAATAAGAAGAAATATGGGAGTTCAAAAAATAAGATTTTGATTCATAAATGATTTCAAGTTATAAATCATGAGAAATCAAGATCATGATTTCGATAAAATCCATTAAATTTAAATTATTTTCATAATCCATGAGATTCATTAAAGCATAATATACATAGATTCATTAATGAAAAATCAATAAGA